GCTGGGGGGCTGTGGGGGCTGGGGTCTGGGGGGATGTGGGCTGGGGCGCTGGGGCGCTGGGGCGCTGGGGGCCTGAGTCCTCACAGTGCAGTGTGGCCTGCGGGCCCCACCACACTCTTTTTCTCACCCGCCCCCTCGCAGGCTGGGCCTGAGCCACAACCAGATCCGCATGGTTGAGAACGGGAGCCTGAGTTTCCTGCCCACCCTGCGGGAACTGCACTTGGACAATAACAAGCTGTCCAGGGTGCCTGCTGGCCTTCCGGACCTCAAGCTCCTCCAGGTGAGAGCCAGGGAGTGGGCAGCCCCTCAGCCCACAGCCCTCCTTGCTTAGGCCTAGCACGCGTGGGGTCTGGGTACAGAGTGGAATGGGACCTCGCTGCGAAGGAGCAGGCTCAGGGATCCCTCCTTCGGCGCCAATCGCCCGCACTGAGGGAGAAGGGGGTGGGTGGGGACGCCGCTGTGGACAGCGGAGAGGGCGGGCCCGGGCCGGCGAGGTCGCGGGGGAAGAGCAGGTCTCTCAGGTGGGTGCAACACCTGCAAGGTGTGGCCGGGCCGTGAGGTCAGGGAACAGTCTGGGCAAGACAGGGGCAGCCCAGGGCACGAAGTGGGCCGATGAGGGGATACAGGGCCTGGCCTGGGGCTCTCTCAGGGGCGCTACCCCCAGTTCGGCTGTCAGCCACATGGATGAACTCGGCCGTACTCGGCCCTGCTCTGGACCTCAGTCGCTGCTTCCAACCCATTCACAACGTGCCAGGAGACCCGCCATTCTCGCGGGCTGGCCAGTCAGAGCCGAGTACACCGGAGCCCGCCTGAGCCCTGCGTGGGGACCGCCCACCTGCAGCGGCAGCGCCCCCCTGGCCAAGCCGAGCGCGCCCTCTAGCGGCCGTGTCCTTGCCGCCTCTAGAGGGCGCCGCTGCCGTCTGAGCGCCTCCCTGCCGTCATTGGGTCCTCCCTCCCTGCCCCTCCTGTCCCACAGAGTGTGGCTTCAGGGAGCTGGGGGAGCGGGGGAGGAGGAGGCTCTTTCTCCTCCCACGCCCCTGGGGCTCTGGACTGGGAGGCTGCTTCCCTGGGGGCAGACCCAGAGCCCAGGGAACCCAGAGGGAGGGCCAGGGACTTTATGTGAGCCCAAGGTGCCATCCTTTCCGCATCGACAGTCCCACCCCACCACTCGTGCCCCACGTACCCCTCACCTCACACCCGCACGCCCCGAGCTCCCCATCCCAGCACCCAGTCACACACCAGTGCCTTAACGCGCGCCAGCACCCGCCCAACAACCATACCCAAGCCTCAGTTTGCTCCTCCAGACAATGGGAGGATCACCTCCATGCCCTCAAAGGGCCGTGTGAATTCAATGCAATGAAACGTGGCCCATGAGGCAGTGGGGTGGGACTCAGCCGGGAGGGAGGGCACCAGCCCTCGGGGTTCTGCCCTCCGCTTGGCCTACCCAGGCAGGACAGATGCAGGCTCGGGGGTCGGGGCGACTGGGCCACTGCCCTGAGCCTGAGCCACACCCCTCTGCCCCCAGGTGGTCTATCTGCACACCAACAACATCACCAAGGTGGGCGTCAATGACTTCTGCCCGGTGGGCTTCGGGGTCAAGCGAGCCTACTACAATGGCATCAGCCTCTTCAGCAACCCCGTGCCCTACTGGGAGGTGCAACCGGCCACCTTCCGCTGCGTCACTGACCGCCTGGCCATCCAGTTTGGCAACTACAAAAAGTAGAGGTGGCGGCAGCCGCCAAGGTGGCCTGGGCGGGGTCTCTGGGGAGCACAGCGGATGTCCTGAGAGGGGGAAGCAAAGCAGGGGAGCGAAGCCAATGCTCCGCTGCACCCGACCCAGCCCCGCCCTTGATCCCCAACCCCCCTCGTCACCGCCCGACGTCCTTGCCCTGGCTCCCAAGTGTGCAGGTGAGGCGTGAGGCCTGGCCCCCATCACACGCCCCTTAGCTTCAGAGCCGCCCCTGCTCCCCCATCATGACCACGCAGAGGTGCCCCCACGAAGCTTTCTTCCCATTCACCCCAAAACCAAATTGTCTGAGGCTCCAGTCCAAGGAAAATGGTCCCTGGGTCTGGGGGGCCAGGGATGGAGACAGCGGAGCCCGCTGAGCCCACCCTACCTCCGGGCACACATCCCTCCTCGGCCTGGCCTGCTACCTTCTCTCCCGTGCCCGCTGCCATCCTTCTGTGAGCTCACGGCCATCCATCCCAGCCTGTTTGCTCTACTGGCCCCTGGATCAGTCCTCTCCATCTCTCTCTGTCTCTCCGTCTGTCCCTCCCTCGTCTTCCCTCTCCTCTTTCACATCCTTGGGCTGGGTCTGGTCTCTGTCTCGCTGGGCTTCTGCCCAGCCCCTACCCAGGCGGGCTGCGGTGGGAGACAGCTGCCCCCCACCCCACCCAGGCCTCGCCCCCAAGCCTGGATGATCCGGCAACCACGCACTCCACAGCCCACGTGCTCCCAGGGGGAGCATTGGACTCAGCCAGACCTGAGAGTCTGTCCCCCGGGAGGGAGCCAGCACCCCGCCAGAGTCCCCAGCATGCTCCTCACTGCCCCCCTTTCCCCCACGACGGCTAGGTCTCCCCTCCCATTGCCTTCCAGCCCCTGGGGTAGTGAGGGTTCCAAGTGATCACGCCCAGGTTGAGGAGGGGCTGCTTCTGAGGTCGGTTGTTGTCTTTCAATTAAAGAAACACTGTGCAATATGGCTGCGTGTGCAGCCTCTCGGGGTGGACTGGGGACCCAAAAGAAACGGGAGCCACGAGGGTCCGCTGTGGCTGGCTTCCAGGTTCCACCTCTCCGTGCCCAGTCGGAGCCCTGGGCTGCCTATTCGCTGCTTTCCCTGCCTTCAGTGAGGGTCCTCAGCACCCCGAGGCTTGAGGCTGGACCAGAAGGCCCCAGGCTGCCCCCTTCCCGTCCTTTCTAGTCACTTCTGTTGCCCCGGCTATCCTCAGACTGGGCTCCTGAAGCAGGGCCGGCTGAGGTGGCGTCTGCCCTCCCAGAGTGGAGTGTCTGCCAAGCAGTCACTGGCTGCAGAGCACCAGGCCAGAAACTCCCCCCAGCTGAGCGGGAGCCGGGAAATCCTAGGGGCCCCTGCCTGACTGTCTTGATGGGGTTTGGGGGCTCAGCACAAGACCGGATTTTGGCTGTGGTCAGAGCTGTGTGCCACACCTGTGTCAGCACCAGGGGGCGCACTCCCAGGAGGGCCAGGCCTCACGGGGACAGGGCCCAGTGCTGTGCACGCCTGCCTGTACTGGCTTGGCCTGGGCTCCCAGCGCAGCGACCACCCAGTAGGTCACCCTGTGCGCCAGCAGAGCCAAGCCCAGGTCGCAGCGTGTGGGTGCCGGTTCCCAAGAGAGGATCCAGGGCACAGCCCGTGAAGCCTGGGGACATAGGTCTGCCCCGGAAAGGGAGTAGTGAGGGGACAGTCCCCCAAGAAATGCCCCTTGGATGGCAAGCCCAGCGGGCTAAGCAGGAGACAGGCTATGGCCTGGCTGCTCTTCCCTCGTCATACACAAGGGGCCTCTGCCCCAGGTGATGGGATCCAGGGCTTCCCTGAGCAGCCGTGGGCCACCAACGAAAATAGAGCAGGCGGGGTCGCCGGGAGTGCCAGACCGGGAGAGAAGGAGTCCAGAGGCGCCGCGTGCTGGCTCCGTGCACAGAACCCTTCCGCCTGGCCCGGCCCTGGGGCACCTGGCGTCCCCAGATTTCTCCTTTTGGGGATGGGAGGCACCACTCAGTGTGGTGGCCCAGCAATAGAATGTCACCCGTTGGCATTACAGCACTATTCTGGGCCGTGTGCTCCACGGCCCGGCAATCTCTGCTGAGCTGGGCAGGCTCAGGGCAAGGGCACTGGCGGGGGTCCAGGAGTCAGGGCCTCGGTCAAGTCCCCTCGCTGGTGGGAGGAGGGGCAGCCGGTACAGGGCAGAGACAGAAACACAGAGCCCTCGGGCTGTTTCTCTGCGGGCAGGTCTGGGCACCGGACTCTGTGGTGTGGGTTCAACTCAGCCCCCTGTGGATCGCTGTCTTCTCTCCAGGCTTGCTGCCCTTCCTTTCCTCCCTGCCTCCCTCTTACACTGGGACACCGGTGCCATGACACGCTAGTGGGACCGGTGTAATAATGCTGGTAGGCACAGAGGAGAACCCCGTGGTTGGGGCCCAGGGAAGGTGTCCTGTAGGCCCGGTGGGTCACCACACACGAGAGGGGACAGCGCCATGCAGGCATGACCCACACTCTGCCAGACCAGAGTGTGGCTGTGAGGACCCAGGGGACCACTCAGGCCCCACTGCAGGTGCCACGGAGGTGAACAGGGCCGCACCCCACGAGGGCTTGGGGATCATGGTTGGAAAGGAGGTCTCCGTACCCAGAGCACTTGGTCAAAGACAAACGAGCCTAGGGGACTTCCCTGGTGGCACAGTGGTTAAGAATCCACCTGCCAATGCAGGGGACACAGGATCGGGCCCTGGTCCTGGAAGATCTCACATGCCGCGGAGCAACTGAGCCCGTGCGCCACAACTACTGAGCCTGCGCTCTAGAGCCCACGAACCACAACTACTGAGCCCACGCGCCTAGGGCCCGTGCTCCACAACAAGAGAAGCCGCCGCAATGAGAAGCCCGCGCACCACAGCAAAGAGTAGCCCCCGCTCGCCGCAACTAGAGAAAGCCCGCACGCAGTCAAAAAAAAAAAAAGACAAACGGCCCACTTAGCCTCACTCTGGTATCAAGTGTGTTGCAGACTATGAGATGATAGTAATAACAAAAGTTGAGACTGACTGGCCTTTGAAAAAAGCCTATGGCAACATCTCTGTCAGCCAACAGTCCCTCGTGTACACTTCCCCGTATGCCTTATACACCACGCAAGGCTCCTCCCTGAGGAGCCCAGGGCCCAGCTGCGGTCCCAGGAAGCCCCAGGTGGCAGAGCTGCAGGGGACTGGGGTGCTCTGCTGTGAGCTGTGGGCAGGTGGGTGGGCGAAGGGGTGTGCAGTCCCAAAGCCTCGGTAACCCCGCGGGAAAGGGGCAGGAAAGATGGGGGAGGGGCCAGGTCCAGTCGACCTTGAATTGAGTAGGAGCCTGCACTTGGGTGCACATTGGACGTGGGGTGAGAGTTAGGGAGTGGGCAGGGTGGGGTGTGGCAGCCCCGGGGCCTGGAGCACGCCGGGAGCTGTGGACTTGTGGTTGCACTCAGAGGAGGGCTCTGATCCAGAGGGTGAGCTGGGGCCGTCACGCGTGCGTGCACACACACACCCAGGGCAGTGAAAGTCATGGCAGTGTCTCACTCTGGGCGGGCTGCCCCGTGAAAGGAGAGGCCACTAAGGAGCTGGCTCTGAGTGACATGGGGCCGGGGCGGGGACATTTCCAAGTACTTATTGTAGGTCAGGTGCCTTCTGGATGTAGCTGGGCCCAGCTGGAGCCTAAGCTCAATCCACTGCTTGGGTTTAGACGAGTCGGGGCTTGTCGGAGGGGCAGCCAGCCAGGTGTCCTCAGGCCATGGCTGGGGCTGGGGGCAGGGCACTTAGAGGGACAACCCCTCCTTGAAGGGCCTGGGTGGCGGAGGGGCCCACTCCGAGAACTTGGGGGGTGTTCATCCATTGCGGGCCCCACCCCCGTGGGCTCCTGACTCTGGGCTCCAGTCTTGGGAGGGCAGAGGTTTCAGGAGGAGGCAAAGCCGGCTCCACTCTGGACACATGGGGCAGGGCATGGTCGCCAGGGGTGGCACAGGGCCACTGTGGCCCCGGAGAGCCCAGGGCAGCTCCAGCACTGAAGGACCCCAGCTCCCGCTGCCAGATCAGGGCTGGTATGAGTTTCCTGGGGCCACTGCTGTAACAAAGGACCACACGGGCAGCTTCAAACAGAGATCGAGTCTCTCATGTTCCTGGAGGCCACAAGTCCAAAATCAGGGTATCAGTAGGGCCACACTCCCTCGAAAAACTCTAGAAGAGGGTGCTTCCTGGCCGCTTCCAGCTTCTGGCGGCTGCAGGTGTCCCTTGGCTTGTGGTTGCGTCACTCCAGTCTGTCTCTGTCTTCACAAGACCTCCTGCTGTGTCTGTGTGTCAGCTGTTCTTCTGCCTCCCTATTATAAGGACACTTACCACTACATCTGGGGTCTGCCCAGATAACCCAGGATCGTCTCCCCATCTCAAGATCCTGAACTTATATCTGCAAAGGCCCTATTTCCACACAGGGTCCCAGCCCAGTGCAGGGTGTGGGGGGCGGGGGGCGGCGGTTAGGATGTGCACGTCTCTCCAGGGGCATTTCAGCCCCTCCTCCCTGGGCTGCAGGGGACCACTGGCCCTGGAGGTCCGGGCACGCTGGTGGCCCCCGAAGCCAGGGGATGGTGGCTGTGATCTCAGCCAGGGAGAGAGCGGGAAGAGGAGGGGGACCCGGGGCCCAGCCAGAGGGGCTCCCATTTCAGGGCTGGGCTGAGGATTGCTGTCCCCGGAGGAGACGGTGACCGCCACACCAAAAGTGGCAGGAGCGAAACCAGGCGAGGGAGGGGCGACAGCTGCGGGGCCCACGGAGGGGAAGGGCCTGGGGACAGGCGGTGGCCGAGGACCTGGGAAAGAAAGCATTTGGGAAGGGGGAAAACAGTGAGGGCTGAAGAGGCAGCCGGCTCTGAGCTCTGGGAGCAGGACGCACTTCACATGCCAGTGCCAATGCCCCCGTGTGCACAGCAGCCATCAGTAAAATGAACACCGCCCCCAGGAGTGATAATATGTCCCCTGGTCCCTGAGGGAAGACAGTGACACAGTCCTAAGTGAGTCTTCTCTCTTCTCTTCAGCCACTCCCAAGCCTCCCCTCTCAGCACCCATTTCTTCCTCCACCACTTCTGTCCTCCCAGAGCCGCCAATACATGTCTGCTAAGAGGCTGGTGTTTGCTACTGGCCAGGGTTCACCCCCTGCCCGAGGGAAGCTCCAGCGAGGGCCCAGGGAGGCCAGGGGCCTCGGGCCTGGGATGGAAGGACGTGCCCCTGTGCCAGACCCCAGAGAGCCTGTTCCCCCATGGGAGGCCAGGAAGTGGGGTCCGAGTCTGGGGGAAGGGCTCTCGGGAGGCGACCCACCGATTGGGGCTCCTCTTCCCCGGTGTGGGTGCCCGGGGCAGGCTGGCGCCCCATCACCCAGCCCAGTGAAGGCCCAGCTTGACCACCGGCTCCAGGTGGGGGCTGGCTCCCCTCCGAGCACAGGGGTG